AACACCGACATGAAACAACGTGGATGAGTGACCTTCCTGAACTCCCGGGAGAATTCAAGGAGTTGTGAAAGAAGGTGAAGTGTTTTCTGGGGAACAAGTAAAGTTCTCAGCTTCCTTTTTAACATTCACGTCAGTGGGTTGCTCCGCAGCGAGCGATGCATCGGCACGCAGACATGCTGGCTGACACGTGTGATGAATTGGAGAGCGTCCAACGCTATGAATTATTTATGCCGAAATGGAAGGCAAACAAAAACAGATGGTGGTTCTCACAGCCGCTGTCGTTTAAAAAAGAAAAAAAAAAGAAAAAGTCTAGCTCAGGATATAAGCTGAACTAAGTTCTTGTAAAATATTACTGTGGAAAAAATTGTTTCTATCAATAATTTCAGCTAAGCAACAGTTTTGGAAATGGTTTTTATGCAGATTATGATTTAGTTTTTTGGGTCTAAACTCCAGCACTCAAAAAAAACAAAAAAACAATTATACGATAACTTGATAGAGAATATTTAGCCAAGTATTAGTGGGGGAGTGTGTATATATTCATGTCGCTGATCAGCTAATGCAATTTTGCCACCAGGCTGTAAATATTTAAACTTTCAAAATAATTGATTATTCTGGATGATAGACTGGAGAACAATCAGCGAACCAATAGATTTACAACTATGCTTTTGGTGTTAGTTCCTGTCTCTTTCAGGCACAAATGGCACTCTGTGGTGCAGCACTTCTGTAGTTGCAGTGCTTAAGAGTTTTGAGTTACGAGAGTTGAGACAACATGGAGGATTCTTGTTCATCTTACATCTGTCCGCATAGTGACACCTCCCTCTGTGTCGTTTTGCTCTGTGCAACAACATGTCATCGTCTGGCGTCGTTTAAATGTAAGTTTTCGATACTTCAGCTGTCAAACTGTGCAGTCGGACATGTTAAAACAATGGGGGTTTCAACGCAGCCGGTGTCTCCTGCCCTCATGGCAGCAGCAGCAGCAGCAGGCTTGGACCAGACCCAGGAACAGTCTGCACCGAGGCCCGCTGCCAGAGATCTGTGCCTCTGACTGTCAGATGGATAATGAGGCTGGCCCGGGGTCAGCGCCTGTCGCTGGGGACAACGGGAGGAAGGTCCATGAAAGAGCCCGAGGAAAACTGGAGTCATGCTGCGCCTCGAAGCACACCGTTGACACAAACAAGACCTGGCTCTGGAAAGGAGTCAGAAGGAAGCCTTAAATCTAAGTGAAGCACCAAATTATGACTCAGTAATAGAAATATGCCAAATTTTCCTCTGACTGGCTCCGACTAGGATCACTGAGGCCAGCTGTAATTTAGTCATAGCTTTTTAGATTCGGCTGCTATAGCTTGACCTGCTTTTCACACAAACCAATGCAAGTTTGGAGGGTTTTTTTCTATGAAGTATAACCTTCACTTTAGAAGTGATTCATTTTAATTATCTCAGTTTTTTGCTGTCTGATTTTTACATTAAAAAAGACAGAAAAGGGGGATGGGTGGACAAATATTTTTTTCAAGCCAATGTAAAATGAGTGAAAAATTGTATTAATGTACATGGATGTGTTAATATAAAGACCAAATAATATTTGCTTCACTTAGTTTCAATTGCATTTAATTTTACTCATGAAACTTACAGACTAATAAATACTAATTTATGAGTCCTGGGCTCTTAAGGATGTAAGGCAAACCGATTATTATTCATTTGAAGTTCAGGCTTTTTAAGGTTATTTCTTGTAAACTGAAGTTTTACATGGTTGGAAGGCTTCTTTAAATTGCAACTTTGGTTTCCTCTTTTATTGGAATATATATAATTTAAAAGATTTTTTGAAGTAAAGTATACAAAAAATATATTTCTAACAAGTTATTATTGTTAAGGTTTTGTTTCAACTCAACAAACATGATTCTCTTCTAAAGTTTAATAAAAATCGTTTGAGGGTTAGCACCCTTTCGCTTTGATGCGTAAATGGGGATAATCTTGTTATTTCTACATGTTCTACTGCATTAATAACTTTACAACAGTTGGTGTGTATTTGTTATGTGGCTTAAACACAATTGTAAAAGTAAGCAAAAGGATGAATGGTTAATCTGCGCCGATGATAAACGACTTTTTAGTGGCCTAAGATACAAAAATATAGAAGTTTGAGTAAATCTGTACCCTCTGAAGAACTTTAGACTATGTAATGTCGCCCCCTTGTGGATGTCCATTCGACCAACAGAGCAGCTCCGGCTCTCTGGATTGAGACCAGATCCCCCTCAGAGTTTAATTTTAACTGTTCAATGAGGGATAATTTGCACCTTGCAGACCAAGTTAATGCAATCAAACCGCATACCCGGGTGGAAACACTTAGGATGCCTTTGCACTTTAGGCCCCATTGCTTTTTGGTTTTACTGCAGCAGAAACTGCTGCCCAGTTTGAAACTTTTTAATAATTGCACACGCTCTTGGCATGGCGCCGAAGAGTACGTTTATCCATCTCTGCTGTACTTCTGTCAGCGTCTCGCGGAAGTGACGGGCACTTCCGTGAGAACAGCAGAGGGCGTCAGTAATGCACAAATTGAGCAGGAACTTGGTGCTTATAGGAAAATGTTCTTTTCCCCTCTTTGGATGCATTCAGAATAAGTCTTTATTTTTAAACATACCGTGAAGCCCGACCAGCACGACTTGCCACCTGAATACAAACGCAACAACTCCATAAAGTCTACAAAAAGTGGGAAAAAGCAGAGGCGTGTTAAACTTGTTGCTATTCCACGTTTTCCAGCAGCGAGGTGGCTTTACTGAATCATAGCCGTGTTTCTATTTTGGCTGGTGGGAAAGAAAAAAAAACAGAAAGAGAGAGAGAGAGAGGGAGAGGAGATGGATGAGAAGCAGTAGTGACAGTATCTATCTGCAGCGCAGTCAATCCGAGGATAAGGTTACCATGGCTCCCGGTGGTGGGAAGAATCGGTCTGATGCGCTCAGCGACCAGAGAGGAGACTGTGCCATCCTTCCTCGTCATCATTTTGTTTTGTTTTTTATTTGTTCAGATCTCATGAAGAGACGCTGATCCCAACTGGATGTCTGTACACATTCACTGTGGAAGCAGCCTTCAATATAATCAACCGTTTCACTGTAAAAACTCTCAAACAAGCAATGCAAGGAAAAGACAACAAACACCGATCCCCTTCTTGAGCTCAACACATAAACCAGCAAGCAGTGAAGCAGAAGGTTGACAAAAAGACAAACTCCACCGATCCAGAATGTCAAAGTACAATGGAGCCCAAAAGTCATAGTCCATATTTTATCACCTTAAAACTGGAAACTTCCATATAGTCTGGAGGGTTTATGTCATAGGTCAACACAAAGGAAGGTAACTTGGTTTTCAAAATGTTTAACAAGTAAAATATTATAACTGTGGCGCACATTTATAGTTAGTTGCTTTGGAGATTCTTAATAGATTTCATGTCTGGACTTTGACTAGGCCATCCTAACACATAAATATGCTTTGATCTAAACTCCGTTCCTCGAGGGTCAGAGTCCGGCTGCGTTTAGACACCTCTGCTTCAACATACCTATATTTAATAATTAGGTCAATTGTAGGGCTCTGTAAAAGACCACTGCATGCTGAGGAGTTCAGGTGTACTGACTCAGGGACAGATCTAAAAGTTGCAAGAGGCCAGTCTTTTAGGACTATAGAGCTCGGCAACCCCGGATCTAAACCATTTTGTGGCAGCTCTGGCTGCATGTTGAACCTCCATCTCAAATTCTTTGCAGCCTCTGATAAGTTTTCTTCCAGTGGTTTATTGACTCTAGCAGATTTACTTCAGTCTCTGCTGGAGGAAAGCATGATGCTGCCGCCGCCATGACCATCAGGATGATGGGTCAAGTCTAGTCTGTTCTTACACTTTATTTTCCTGCACGGTTTGTCGGTCACTGGTATATTAGAAAAACAAAAACTTCCATACAGCATGATGATGTCACCACCACGTTTTACAGTGGGTGTGGTGTTTATTTTAATCACACATAATGTTTTGCATGGAACCGGCAAGCTCACTTTTCATCCCACGAGGGAAGAGCACCTTCTTCCTCTGCATGGCTTATGGAAACTTTCAGCTTTTCTTTCTTCTTGCCACATTTCCAGACAGGCCAGATTTGGGGATTGCCCATGTGATAATCGCCCCATCAACAGATTATCCCACCTCAGCTGTGGATCTCTGAAGTTTATTCAGAGCTACCAGAACTGTCTGATTAATGCTTTCCTTGTCAGCTTAGGTGGGTTGCCATGTCTTGGAGGATTTGCCAAATTCTTCTCAAGGCGTGGGATCTTGTTTCACAATCTAACTCTGATTTAAACACGTCTCCACCACTTCCTCCCTGACCTGCTGTGTTCCTTGGTCTTCATGATGCTGCTTGTTCACCAATATTGTCTGGAAAACCTCTCAGAACAGTCAGATTAGTAAAATAAACAGGTAGACTCTTCTTACTTAATAGATAACTTCTAAAGGCTGTTGTTGGGTATCAGAATAAAAGGTGGTTGGGATCAAATCCCATCACAATTTAAGGTTTTTGTTTGAAAAAAAAATATAAAAACACACATTATTTTCCTTCCTTTGTGCTGATCTATCACATAAAATCACTCTAAAATACATGACACAACGCAAAAGAGGATTATGAATACTTTTGCAAAGCACTGTTGAGCCACACACAACACAGCAGCAATCCCAACGAAAAATAAATATTACCACACAACGAGAAAGCAGATCAAGCAAACAAAAGACTAAACAAACAGGCCACAGTGAACGATCTGAGCAAAAATCACACCGCTCGAGCGATGCCGGCGCTCAACGGGTGCGCACAGGGGAAGTACACAAAGGAGTGGGAGCTAATGAGGAGAATGGCACAAGATGAAAATGAGACAGAGCCAAAGGGGAAAACTGGAAAAGGCATGCGGAGGCAGAGAGAGGAGGCGGCAGCGGGGGCTGCTGGGAGAGAAAACTGATCTCACGAACGTGTAAAAAGACAGGACGAGAGTGATTTCCAATTCTGACATTTATTAGATCTATTCAGTCACAGGTACAGAGTTTATTGGCAGTGATTATCTACAACAGGCACCTAGAGAAGGAAGCGAGCGAGCCAGATAAGAAATGACGGGCACTTCAACAATGTCACTGACCAATGACTATTTTCCTACTGCTCAGATTGCTGCAACATGAGCCGACAAAGTTTGGTGACTCACTGCTTTTAAAGAGTTGTGAAGGAAAGAAATTTTAGAAAAGGAAAAAAAAAAAAAAATCTCTGATGGTGACATTGTTGAGTTGCTCTGAACTAGAAGTGGTGGAATGGAGAGGAACACAGCATTTGTTTGTAATGGCTGTTCAGGAATTCCAGTTTCATGGCTCCGGATTACTTTCGCAGCTAATATCACCACTTTCAGTTGTTCAGCTGGTCTCAACTCTACTTTTCAGGACAACATTAATTGTGCAACAAATACTGATCAGAAAACCTGTATGTATTTCTTTTTGTTTGTTTGTTTTCATAAATCATAAGACCTGTAAACAAATCACATTTGCATGCACCCGAAACTATAAAACAAAGTGGAAATATATCCAGCTGGGGAGATCCTAGTCACATGTTCAACCCCAAAAGTTTGCAGCAAGTTTGGACTTTTTCAGGTAAACGTCACTCACGAGAGAAAATATACACATCACTATTTACAGGAGTGTCATAAGGATCACACACACACACACACACACACACGCGCCCACAGACGTTGAGTTAAACCGATCAGGCAAATTGAGGGAGTCAACATCAATTTGTCATTAAAGTGCGTCAGTCGGTATAGAAGGAGTTTTGCCATAACAGTGGTACTATTGTGACCACACTATACACACATGCAAGTACAGTTGTATTCAAAGTAATATCAGTCCAACTTCATGAACCAAATGAATCACAGTTTATCTATAGAAAGAAAAAAAATTCTATATCGAAAACACGGCCATAGCCTTGTTTTCGATATAGAAAGTTTTTGTGTAGGAGAGTAACAGGAAATCCACCAGATGAATCAGTCATGACATGCATGCTGCTGATTCTGTGTAACTGTGTTTCCATTGAATAGCAGCGTGGAGTTCAATCAGTGAGGACAGTCATTGAGTGAACGAACGGGAGTCAAATAGGAGTGTTTTATTTAAGAACAAAGGCTGAAAATGTTGCAAATAGAAGAAAAAATTATGTCATAAAGTTGACTGGAGAGGAGGAAACACTTAAAGAAGAGGTGAAATGATGCAAAACTATTGATTAAATAATAGTCACAATTTTTCAGCCACTGCTACATCCAGATTGATCAAAGATGATATCGAGTTGCTTGCGAACACTGAAACAATGACAGACTGAAATGCTATAGACAAAAGGCTCCTGCAAAGTCCTAACATTGAAAAAAAGACTTTTAACTAAACACTGAACTAGCCTAAAGAGAAATGATGCAACATTTTATTGGCTGATCAAACCAAGATCATCCTTTCACGTTTTGGGAAACTTGACCCCAAAGAGCTGAATTCAAGCCACAACAGGCCATGTCTATCACAATGTCAAAACGCTTGGAGAGTTCATGTTGCGCTATGTCATTGTATTTCCTTGTCAGGAAATACAATGACAATTGGTGGCCTTGTTATTTCTTGCTGAAACAAGAAGAAAGGTTTGGCATTGGTCTGGGTTTCAGACCAACACCATTAACATTTATTAGCAGCCAGTCCAAACGCAGAACTTTAAAACTTATGAGGTGATGTTAAGCATGCTGTGGCTGAGACTTCACCAATAAAAGCAAATGAGACCATAGTGTGGGCTTGAAAATTTGGCCGGATGTGCAAGAAGAAAGGTTGACTCTATGTGAAGCATATTTGAAAACTAGATATAAAACTAAGATTAGTTTGGTGGTTCAAGGTGCGTCCACAATCGTTTTAAATTTCTACGGTCGATCCTTGATTTTGTGAAGTTCTGTTTTAATTAAATATTCTTTTTCTCCACTTCCCGTAGAGTGAGAACAGATTTACTAATTATTATTTATTCATCCTGTAATTTGTAATATAATATAAAGGGTTCATGAATCATTAAACTAAAAACACTGTTATTAATTTGAACACAACTGCACACATACACACACACACTCACACTCACACAGTACTGGTTTATTACTGGTTTGTAGAAATACCTGAACTGGACTTTCCCTCTCCACCTGTGTCTTGGGACCGGGAGCAGGGTGTCGGTGGGGTGAAGTTGGCCTCAGGGAGGCTGCTCTCCAGGGACGGGAAGGATGAAAGCGAAGGGGGTAACAGAGTACTGTTGGGGCTGCTGATGTCGCCCTCACCCACGAGGGTCAGGTCGGCGTGGGCGTCCTCTTCCACCGTGCGGAGGCTCGGCCGGGAGTCAGGGGGCCGGGGAATGGGGGAGAGGTGGGTGCCAAACGTAGAGTGGCGGGGGGGAGGCAGCAGGCACCGCCTGGACGCTGAGTGTCCGTTGGCGCTGGAACTGAGGGAGGAGTCTAGACTCTCCGAGCGCAGAGCGGCTGTGAGGGACCCGCGGGGCGGCCCGCCGTTCTCTCGCCCCGGCTTCAGGGAGGCCGGGGTGGAACAGGCCAGGTCGGAGGAGACAGAGCAGGAGGAGGTGGGTGGTGTCAGGCGGAGGAAGTCTGGAAGCACCAGGTCTTCTTTTTTCAGAAGTCCGCGCTGGTCGTTGGCTCGGGTGCTCTGGGCTCGGCTTAGCAGCTCAAAGAATTCTAGAACAACAACAAGTTTTCCTTCACTTTGGCTTTTCAAATGGATCAGAGATGTTAGTTGGTCTGTAAAAGCGCTGTAGCCACCTCCCATCAGACACAGATCCTTATCAGTTAGTCCAGAGGCAAAAGCAAAGCACAGAAGTCCACCAAAAGTTAAAATAACAGAAAAGAGAAATCAAGATAAAGGGGGGCATTTACCTTCAGCTTCATCTATATTTATCTTTTTCTGTTTTCTCTTTTCCTCTGGGAGTGCTGAGGCTGGTCCAGCCGCTCTCACAGAAATGTCCTTTGGTGCTGACCTCTCATCTCCCTGCAGATGCAACAATAACAATGCACTCTGTTAGGGGATGGAGGCGTGGGGTGGGTTTGGGTTGGGTGTGGTCGCAAGAGGGAAGCTAAGCACCAGCTGCTAAGCGCTTTACTGAGCAGAGTCCTGATTTACTCAACCCCCGTTCAATAGCAGAGCTCTTCCATCTGTCGGCTTCGTGTCTTTACTGATCTAAACCTTGTTTTGGTTTTTTTTCTGTTGTGCTTTTTTTTTTTTATTGACGCAGTTCTTTAAAGCAGGGAAAATGTGAATGAGTGCATCAGCAATAGATTGATTAAGAGTGGGGAATAACAGAAAACACCGACAGATCAGCATCAAGTGAGTGTTAATAAAGACCCTGAAGTAATGATGAACTTGGCAGAAGCAGCACAGCAATAGGAGAGGACAAAACAACACCAGCATAGAACCCATTTCTCTAGACATGTATAAGGTAAAATGTGTCTCTAGTACTCACTGCAGCAGAAAAACTCCTGGTCGGAGGGTGGCCTTTTATGGAGGAAGACTTGGATTTTTCTATTTGACAAACATGGAGAGGAGGCATTAAAATTCATCAGATTGAAAAGAGGCAGAAGCAGTGGACACTTGAGATAGATCTCATTCTGTAAAACCGAACCGTGCCTCGCTTGGACTACTTAACGTTTTGTCTCAGTGGAGGAAAATGGTTTTCAGAATGATTTGCATTAAGAGAATGAAAAATTTGCTGTGGTGAGGACTCCAGCAGCAATTGAAGTGCTAAGAAGTATCTGTATTAGTAAAGTAACACAGTTTGTGTTTACATAAAAAAAGAGAACTACAGAGAAAAACAAATCTTCAAATGAGCCACACCACAATCACATACAAACAGGCTGATTAATCAACATTCAAATGGACGGTCCGATTGAACCAAATGGGCTCTGGGCTGAACCACTTCAACATAAAGGGAGGAATAAGATTAAAAAGCTAAAAGCAGCTTATTCACAGGGTAGCCAAGAGCATGGGCATAAGGCAAAATAATAAAGAGAAATCACGTGAACTCTTAAAAAATAAACAAAAATGTAGTTCTATACTAACATAAAAATGATCAACTAATTTGGGAATTCATTGTTAACTGGAATCTATAAACTAAAAAGGGGCCATTGGCTGAAAAAGCAACATACTCAGAGCAGTAATTAAGCCAAAACCTTACAAAAAATATAAAGCTTTTGCAGTTAAGATAAAAAAAACAACTGTTTATATAGTAAAACAGCATAGCTTTATCTTCACCTGGTTCAAATTCTATAAAAAAAAAGAAAAACCAATTAATAATTTAACCAATTATTAATTGGTTAAAAAAAAGAAACAAAACATCTGTCGTGCATGGTACTGATGGTCAGAAGTAATGAGTAATTTTTTTTGTTACATTTGTATCTTTTGCTACAAGTCTAGACAATAAAATGCTTATTTTCTTATTTAGAAAATGGATTATTTGAATTTTTAATGTATTTCTAATATTGTATACAAAATGCTTCTAAATCTGATTAATCTTTAGATTAATCAGATTTAAATAATCAATAGAAGAAGAATTGTGAGTTACAGCCCTACTTTAATTATTTGACACCAGAGGTGACACAAAGTTTTGTACATTAGTTTTATCTCATTAAATTATCAAATAAAAACATAAATACAACATAGAATCACTCACAAAATTCAATAAAAGATACGTCCTCAAGCATGCCTGTAGGAATTAAAAGCATCGGGCTATTTAGAGGTATTTTAAGGGGGAACTAGTGTCGGATGACTCACCTTTCCCTGAACATGGGTCTGCCCGCTCCAGCACAACACGCAGGCCGTCCAGACTCGATATGGGGGCCCCCAAATCCAGCGGTTCGGTCTCTCCGCTCTAATACCAAACACAGCGTGTTAGCCTCTTCATCTGTTGCTCGGTAAATACCTCACAGAATGTGGCTGATATTTGTCTGTGATTTATTTATAAGCCCTCTTTCAGCTTTGGTCTACTGCATAAATGCAGTTATAATGCCTGGAAGCCCGCAGGACTAAAATAAACCTGACAGGGGTTAATGAGTGGGCCAAAGAGTCGGCATGTTTGAGGGGTGTCGTCATTCTTAATTGTAGCCCTGCTGCTCCATCTTCACATGCTGGGCTGAGTCAGAGCTCTAACCACCATGTAAAGATGGAAAAGGATGTGGTCGTCTCCCTCCCCCCCTGACCATGATACTCCACCCTTATTGCACAGGCCGCTGTGTCTCAAAGCATTAAAGCATTGTCGAGAACTCACTATTTTGGCCACCAGATCACTTAGATTCAGGCCGTATTTGGCCACCACGGGACGGAGGACCTCTGTGACTGGTTTCGTGGGTTTGGCTTTGAGACCCACGGAGCGATTAATTGGCACCAAGTCCAACCTAAAGCAAACACACGGCGAGAGTTACGGAGAATCCAGCTGAAACAGTAACAAGACAGGAATTAAATTAAAGTTTTATACCGAAACAAAGTGCGCTTCTCCAGTCTTAGGTCTCGTGAGCAAAGAGTCATGCAGTCTTGATCTAAAACTAGAGGCTAGAGGAAGGAAATGTTGGATTAGATTCTGTTTGAATTTGTCTTACCAAATTAGAAAAGGCTCATCTATCTTAATAAGTTGAAAAAAATCTTTCCTAACCTTCTCTCCTCCCACGAGGAACAGATCCACAGCAGCAATGTTGACGCAGATGTTGCGACACAGATCTTGGAGGACCTCTCTGATGGAAGCGCCGGGCCGCAGGGTGATGGAGGAGCAGGAGCCGTCGGGCAGCAGCACACTGCAGTGTCTGGACGAGCGCTCCCACGCGCCGACTGAGTGGCGATTGTCAGACTGAGGACACAGGATTCATAAAACCAGACGTTTTATCGCTCACCTCTGTTTAGATTGCGCAAGAAAAACAGTGTGTGGGCTTAAGCAAATTGGAAAAAAAAGATCAAATTCTCGCCTATTACGATTAAATCATGGTATTTTGAGCTCCGCGTTTCCATGGCGATCTGACCAGAGGGAACTTACCTCCATTTTGGCAGCAGAGACAGAACTGGGGATCTCCAGACTGGCGCTTGACGACAGGGAGCCCTGAGACTCTCTTCGACCGTTACTGCCCCAAAAGTCTGCAAGACAACAGAGGATGAGCCTGACGAAGAAAACGTCTTCAGGTTCATAACACTGGTTCACCTCCGTAAAAATTCATCAGTCAAGAGGTTATTGGTTTTGTTTTGAATTTCAGAAGTTTGCACATAGTAAGACAACTTTAAACAATTTTTAGATCAATTGACGAGATCATAGTTTCATGAGCTTCTGATACAGTATTGATGTATTTTAGGAAATGTTCCTTTTGTGCCATTTTGGAAAAAGAAAACAGAAAAAATGTAAAGGAAGAGAGATATCAATGTTAATATATGTCCAAAGAATTATGTGTAAATTATGTTGGTTTATAGCAACATTATGTTTAAATAAAAAGGGTGAACATTGCAAGCCTTCCCAAATGTTAAGTACATGGTTGGCAGCGTTATGTTATGGTTGTTTTGTTGCAAAAACAGGCAAAAGTAAGAAAAATAATTCTGACAAATACTAAAGAAATGAAAGATATGTTCTTTATCTGAAGAAAGTTCAACAAAATCTGTAAAATATATATATATGTCTTGCATTATTCTGAAATGTAGAAAACAGAAATAAATCTTGTAATCCTTCAAATTTTTCATCCTACATGAAAGTACTACATTAACTATAATTTAGAAAAGCTGCATTATTTTAACTTTTTGTGAGTAAATCAGATAAACCACCAATAAAAACGGTTATAGGTGTAATTGTGATTTTAAGATCAAGTGTTATGAATACTTTTGCTTTGTCTGCAGCAAATGAACATTTAGCCTTAGGGTAAATAATTAAGAACAATTAAGAATGCTAAGGGTTTCAGCAAGCAGAGCACAACGGTCACTAATTCCCACCCAGATTAATGTCTCCAATGTCTTTCTTCTTTGGTCCCTTCCCAAAGCTCCTGTTGCGAGACCAGGAGAAGAAGATGCCACGCTTCTTATCTGCGCTCTCGTCCTTGGTGTCTTCATTAAATGATTTCCCTGATCTCTGCTTTCTGATATCCTGTGTGTGGAAAAAACAAAAATCACGTATTACCCTTGACTCTGGACATGTGCTAAAGATGCCAAAAATGACACTTGCACTTGTAGAGTGTCTGAGTTAAAAAAAAAAAATTATAAAAATTGCTACCTTTTTGGGAGTGGAGAGGGTGGAGCGGTCAGAGCTGGCGCTGTGTTTGGAGGGCGCGGGGCTACAGGGGATGTGGTAGGGGTCCGGCATCGGCTGACCGTCCTCCTCAGCGCGCAGACACTCCAGGTAGAGGGAGGACTTCAGAAAACGCGAGTAGCTGTCGAACTTCATCAGATTAAAGATCTAAGGACACACAAAGAACAGAGAGAAATTGAACATTTGGAGTCTAATAATATCCTGAGTCTGAAGACAAAAAGAACAAAGAAGAAAGGCAGTCTCAGTAATGACATGCAGTTCCAGCTGATGTTATGACAGCAGTCTTAACTGTCCACATGTAATCATGCTAATCAGCTATTTGGAAATACACAGATCCTTGACTGCATGTCTATGGCCCCCTGTCTGCATAATGCGTGTTGGATTCTCTGTGGGTGTATGCCAGTTTGTGTTTATCTCTCTGGTAAAGCCTCTGAGCCTTTCTGTAAACAAACCCAGATGGCCACCAAAAAAAAGAAAGAAAAAAAAAACCCAATATGCTTCCACAAAGCGAATTGAGGCTAGATGAGAACAAACCCCCGAGAACACATGGAATCCCTCCTGCATTAATGCTTTCCAGAAGATGCCTTCACTACCAACAGCTGACTCCTTCAAACAACACGGCCTACATTAAACGCGCAGGGGTTCTAGTACCTGTAGCTGCTGGGTCTTGAACATTTCAGGCTGAGGTGAGGTGAGGACGTCGTCTGCCAGCTGGGCCTGGCTGTCGATGTTAACTGGCATGGTGGCCTTGCTGGACAGGAAGCTGTTGTAGATCTCCCCCGCTCTCTGGGACAGCTGCAGGCAGCAGAGTTGGTGAGGTTAGCTGCTGCTTCACATGGTCGTATTTAAATATTGGTGACAAAACCTCGCAAAGTCTAAGAAACCACTTTTTGCTCCAATTCTCTAACAGTGAACTTAGGAGATTTATTACAATCTTCCTATACTTTTGTAGGTCCATATTTTTGGTTTTTAAACAGCAAGTCCTTTGTCTGTATTTGGATCATTTTAAAAATAAGATTTAATAATGATATTTTTCTACTAAGTTCGGGCTCACAAAGGACAGACAGACAAATGGGAAATGATGATGCAGAAATGTAAAAATGATCTTAAAATACAATTTATTTTTCATAGTGCTATTTCTATTTAACTTTTTTAGCTTTCCCATTTTTAATAGCAGCTAAGTGTAAAGTCTTTGTGTCTCATCATATTTAAAACCCAATGAACAGGGTATCTTGGAGTACCTCCTAAAAGCTCACTGATGAACTTCAAAAAGTAGAATAAGGCAGAAAAAATTAATTGGACCAATTATGACTACTGAAATCATTGTCAACTGATTTACTAATTGAGTAATTGTTTAATGGAGTATTCAGAACCAGGCAATTTACTGAAAAAAAAACACACAAAAAAACAATTTATTCACAGTAGTAATTAAGTGAAAACTGTATAAAAAAATATTAATCTACTGTCCTGTAACTTCTATAACAAATTTTTGTCACTGGTGCCAATAAGTGTGGAGGGCTCTGTATGTCACATCAAGTATCATCCCTACAATAAGCAGCATCTGGTTTCATCTGTAACTGCTCTTACCTGCTTTTTGTCAGTTGCAGGGACATGACTGAAGTATTCACAGGCCTGCCAGAACAAGATATTCTCCTCACTGAACTCTTTCTTGAGAAATTCCTGTGGAGGCAAACCAGAGGTTTTATATAATCGGAAGCAGCCGATTGTTTTCTTGTCTTATCCAGAGCTGTTGCTGTTGAAACCATTAGTGAGGGCAGAAATTACTGGGTGCAACATATGAAGACTGGTGTATTGTAAGTGTGGGCGCAGGATGGTGTGGGCGAGAGAAGCTGATCAGTGTGGAGGGAGGCGGATCTCTGAAGCCAGCACTTATTGCCGAGCTTTCTGAAGGTGTTATGGGCTACGTTCAATGAAACATCTTTAGTGTGGGAGGACAAAGTACAGTATAACAAAGGTGGCTTTGCTTAAAAGGATGACTTCTGATCAACTATTCTGATGTGGAACCATTTGCAAATTCCAACACCCAATGCATGACTATGTAGACAAGTACATTGTTGGCACTGACTTTGTTTAACTTCAGAAGTCAACTCAAATTTCTTCATAAAGTACATGACATTTAGCAAATGCAAACCACAAAGGTATAAAATCATAACAAGCCAATTCCTCCAAGGAATCATACAAACCAGAATTGTTGAATCATTATTGCCAGAATTCTGAACAATCTTTCTCCACAAAGAACCAATTGAACAAGAAAATGTTTTCTCACACTGATTTATAGCATATGTCGCAGAACACTTGGAAAAACTTTGTTAATTCAGTCAGAGAAACTTTATATCAACTTACCGAGAAGTAACGCACACCCACGGGGTCCTGGAGAAGCCGCTCGAAGCAGGAGGACCAGCCAGCCACCCGGTGATCTGCGGACCCACGATGGCCGCTGGCCCCTGGAAGACTGCCATTGCTGGTTAGGCTGCTATGACTGCAGCATCCCTGCAGCTGGATTCCACTGTAGTCTGCAAGAAGCAAAATGTAACGGGAAAGAGGAAACCCAGAAATTGTATTTACTTAAAACCCTTGAGTGTTATTGATTACACACAGTCAATGAAATAAAAAAAGGATAGTCATTGTTCCATGACTATTAGACAGAGCATACGGATCCATGCACAAACCTTCACATCCTTGAAGATGTGTTAAAAAGCCTTTCAATAAAATATTTTTTACAGACTTTTTCCTATCAAAACTCCCAGAAATAATATAGACCAGAATTTACATAAATGGAACTTATATGAACACTCTATCCAAGCAATCTGTGATATTGTACACATAGATATTTAAGTGGAAGTTGAAAAGTTATATATCGAGCAACTTTAAAATAAACGCAACTGAAATTTTTAGATTTTTGTAGATCGGAATAGTAATTTTCATTTCCATTTTTTCCAGGGTGCAATGTTGTGTTTAGTTTGGAGTCACAGCTTGGCTCTGAGAATTGTGCCACGCAGGTATGAAACACATTTAATTGTGAGTCTGAGGAGCAGTGTGGTTTGCTAATTGTTGGGGCGCTACTATCAGCAACACAAGAAGAAAACAACATACTTCTTTCACTTTCCCTCGCCGCGACTACAATCTGCAAGGGGTGAAGTTTCCAACCAGAATTCAGAAAGTCTGACATTTGAGTATAAATGGAGTTCACCAAACCATTACCTGACAAAGAGCACCATAATGCTAAAAAATGGGAAAGACAAAAAAAAATGTGCCATCGAAATAAGACAGATATGTTGGGAAACAGTAACTATGTTAATAATTAAAAAGTTTTAAACAACGAGAACAAATGAGGCTGAATGATGATTATATAAAAAAAGATGGTAAAGGAAATAATGATAAAAAAAAACTTACAAAGCAGTAAGCAGCATCTTAGGGTCACCAAGGCTGCATAGCAACTGCATATTTTAAGCCCTACTGTTGGAATAATTGTTTTGTTATCATTCTTACATTGGTAGTTATAATAGATTTAGTATTCACATTCACAAGTCTATGAGGTTTGGCAATGATTATGGAGGGTGCTAAATGTCCAATCCTTTCCTGACTGTTTATATTGCTTCTATAGTTTCCTAAACAACAGCAGTCTAAAACTATATAAGTACTTAAATCACCGCTTCATTACAAGCAAGGATTTCTTCAAAATTGCACCCTGAGGTTTGCAGTTGCTGTCCTGCTCGTCAATTTCATAGCACAGAACAGAAAATTTAGAGTGGACTAATAAAAAATAGAAAGTAAAAAAACAAAACAGCAGATGTTGCTATAGAAACAGAGAAACAAAAAGAGCATCATAAAAGGAGCAGAAAGTGGGTTGGGGGTTGTGGCTGATTATAGGGACAGAAGGAGAAAGAGCGGGCAACTATTTAGCAACTGGTGGGTGACTAAAGTAGCACCTTAGACTGAGAAGTACCTGCTATCATGACGGCAGATGGCCACTTGAGAGCTGTGGGCAGACCAAACAAGGGGAGCTCAGTGAAAACAAAAAGGTCACAGTGGAGCTGGTTACAGATGCACCGTCGTTCTCATTCTGAGCAGTTAACTGGTCGCCATGGCACAACAGAATTTAGGTTTATGGCTGGTCTCAAAAACACACACCTGCTTTTGCTTGTTTGTTTCTTTAAGGGCAGCTATGCATGTCTTCATGCTTCTAATACGCAAGCAGAAGTGGGGAGGCTTTACAGCAGTTCATCTATGACCTTGTGAAATAATAATAAAAAAAACAAACATCATAAATAGTAGCCGAGATCAGAGAGTATGACTCAGGCCTCAGTGCGACCTTTTAAACCCACTGTGAGTGTGAGTTCCTTTGACTCAGTAGGGGTGTTTTTAAAACTACATACAGAAACTTGGTGTGGGTTTATTTATTTCAACACCATAAAACCATCTGTTAGATTGTGTTACGGAGAGCGGCTGTTTAAGTATAGCTGACAAGCCATTTGCTCGAGTTTACTAAACAGACTGAAATCTTTTTTATTGCAGTTTCAGCAAAGATTTTTACAGTATTATCACCATACATGTAGAAAGATGTCATTACGCTGTGAGTTTGTAGCTTAGGTGAATAAAAACTAACAGTTAATCATTCAGTTTTTGTGTGTTTCTATTGTCTGGATTGCGTTGAGCTGTACAACTTTACGGAGACGTTCATTCGTGGCTGTTTTCGCGTTTATTGCGCTGTTTCTATTAGTTTCGATGTTTGCTATTTTCTGGAGCGCAATGCGAAGCTTGACGTCATTCAGAGGTCATATTAACCTGACATTAACAAAGACACAGCAGGACGAATGGATAGGGAGGGTCCAGCTAAAATATCAGACAAATTTTGGGGTTCATGTCTGTTTATTAAGCCCAAAAACCGCAACCCGTGAATTATTAAATTTGCAAGCAACTTAAAAACAAACAAACAAACAAGCCCTAAACCACTTATAATAGCCGAACTTGGCAAGCAAATTTTCAGCAACAAAATTAATCTCCCTCTTCCCTCCATTGTTTATGTTTCTGTCGCTGCTAATACTGTCGCATAGAAACGACAGTCACTCCCCAACGCACATAGAGGAAGTAAAATTTAATTACAAAAGAAAATTGTAACTCAGTGATTTCGATAAGTAATTGTAATCTGACTACTAGATTTGAAATAGCAACGCGTTAGATTACTCGTTCCTGAAAAAAGTCGTCCGACGTCAGTAACGCGTTACTAACTAACATGTTACTGACGTCACTGGTTATGACTGATTTAAACTATTTAAACCAAACGCAAACTGATGTATTTGATTCAAGTTTCAGTGTCAGTAAGCTGTCTAAAATAAAATCACAAAAACAAAACGTATGCCAGAAGCTACTAAACAGAAAAATTTTTTTTAGAACATTCCTAATATTCACATTCTCTTGAATATTCACTCTTGAGACTCCTTAACGGAATGCTAGCTTGAATAACTGCGTATATAATGTACAAAAAAAAGGTGTGCCATTTTAATGTGCTTGTAGTGTAAATTATTTAAGAATGCTCACGGTACAAAGATGAGAAAAAAAGTGTTATTCCATTTTAAAGAAATCAAAACTGGCCAAAACTATTATTGGCAGGTCAGCTTCCATCAGTGTAATTTTGTGTAACAACAAGGATGTTGATTAGCTTTCAAAAACAGAAGAAAGCTAAACAGCATTGGGCTACATTGGCATGGATCGGTTACTTACATCAAGGACATTGATAGAGATTGACTGTGTGGAGAATAGAGTAAAACAGAGCTGCCCCAGTACCCTGCTAGTGAGCTGGCTGAAAGAAAGCAACTATAATTTCCTTACACTTACTAAAAAGACTAATTTTGCGGCTTGGAAAGAGCTACAATCCCAATATGTGGAGACTGAATGGGTCCAGGACATTTCCATTATCAATGTAACTCTACTGTTGATCCACAGCTGCAAAGCTACAAAATGATTCACAAGCTGTTTTTTAAATGTCTCATGCAATTTCTTTGTGCAATAACTGATACTGTGGTATTTTTCCTCAAGGTTACTATGGTGTGAGAATCTTGGACTGTCCCACGCCTCACTCCATAGATATCAATATTTCAAGTTTATGTTTGTTTTGAATAGCTAAAATTCATTAACACGTCAAAGCAGCTGTTAGTGTTCCACTTCTCTGAGTATTTCTTCATTTTGCGACCTTCTTGCTGAGTTATCACATCTGTCTACATTAAGTAAAGAAACTAATCTTGACAACTTTTGGAGAGAATCTCTTCAGAGAATCCAAACTATTGCTTTAATGCACCATGACCGAAGCTGAGGGATCTTCCTTACAACTCTTAAGGAGCCAGCTTTAAAGGGTCTGAGCCACATCAGCAGTAATAAAAGGAGGCCAGCTGAAATCTTTGCAGCAGACTTGAGAGTGCTGCCAAAATCGCTATAAAAAGCGACGACCAGACAGCATGGGCGCTAACCCGGCAGGAACCCCAAACACCCTCAACAAACATCCTTTGTTAATGAGGCAAGCTGCCTGCAGTGAACACACCATCCCCAGAGAGGGACATTTATTAGTCCGTTTTTTTTTTTATCATTTCGTAAAACACGGCCTAATAATGAACAAAACACAGAATGCTGGTGAACCTGCAAGAGTTTTACTGAGTGAATAAAAAGGATAGATATAAGGAGAGCTTAGGATTTACATTGGATTGATTTTTACATAGAAAAAATAAGTTGTACTCACCACCATCTGAAGAAGCTGCAGACTGAAAGAGAACAAAGAGAGACATGAATGAGAGGCTGCCCTCATGACCCACAGTGCTAAGAGAAGAGACTGAAGCCTGCTCTGCTAGTAGAGTTTCCTCTGGAATCACAACCAGCTACTTTGAGGTGTGTGTTTCCCTGGTTTGCTTTCTGGAAGTGTGAGTCTGCACCTTCCACCAGTCCGCTCGATTGTTCGTGGGTGGACCATTGGCCTCTATGACACATATACACACACACCCCTTTCCTCCCCTCCTTGAAGCGCATTCCTGCTCAATGCAGGCACAAGGACAAGGACTCATCAAGGCTGTCTACTTGAGAGGCCATGGGTCCTCTTTTTACTTGCTAATGCAGGGAGTGAGTGACCCGTGTCCCTGAGCAATCGCACAAGGTAGCCATGGCAGCCAAATGTTGAATCCTCCACAGTTATTTGCATGACTGTTTCGAAATCCAACATCCACAGTCATTTTTGTTCTTTTCCCTTAGTGTAGAAGTTTTTTCTAGCTCCTCTTTCTGTTTTCTGGGTCCTTCGGCGTTGTGTAACTGTAAACTGAAGTCGTTTTCACACGTCAGTGGAGGTGTTATTCCTACATCAGAAAAGATTCCAGCAAAAAGGCTTACTGCAATAATCACACCTTCACACATTCGCAGCCCATCAAGAATTGGGGATTAGGCTTCCGAGCTGTCAGTAATAAGCATTTCTGTATTGTCGTTAAAATCAAACTTTGCAGATACTTGTAATGTCTGAGAGAGGACAAAAGCATGACACAGCAGCACTTCACCGTGAATGTTGCAACATGAATTTGCTCTGATAAAATCTTTCTACTTCCAGTGACAACACTTAAAAGAAAATAAACTTTGTTTTTATAATATTCTAAAAAAAATAAAGGACAATTTTAATAAAATTACTTCTGTAATTTTTTTTGTGCAAGCTGAGGAACACTCTAAGCCCAAACTGTCAAGCTGTTTTCACCATTATTTTTAAATGCTTGGAAGAATATCCTGGGTCTCGGTTCAAGAAAGCTCGCAGAGGATTGCTGCGTTGGAGGACACAATCTGAAACGGAGAGACTATTTGCAGAGGGGTATTTTCTGATCTGCCACTTCAAAGTGAGAATATGCAAAACTGAGAAAATGCATAAACAAGGTTTTTCTTTTACAGGTTTTATGTGGAACACAGACATTTACCCTTTTCAAGAGCTGGGATGTTAAAAAAAAGAAGTAAAGCGAAAGCTGTCAGAGAACTAATTTGACAACTAAATACTAAAATGATTTCACGTGAACTTCTGTGTAGACGCAAAGGCCCTCTGAAGGCACACCGGGGGATGACGTTCGGTTCTATTCCAGGACTGGCCACATGTAAAATCTCAATCAGACACAAACCACCAAACCACTAATTGCGTGTCACAGCCTCTTTTACAACCGTGCTGCTGAATCCACCCTTACAATCGTCAACACCCAAAAACCGCTTCTTCTGTGGTGGGTAAGCATGTGTTCAATAATCATAGGAGGGGAGGACCAACATGAAGAACACCCCGAAACAGAAGAGACAAGCAGAAAGAGGAGAGAGAGAGGGAGAGAGAGAAAAAGAAAGAGAGAGAACACCCACTACATCTGTTTGTCCCTCTGGGTCTAAAAATGGCAAAACCTCAAGCTCTGAATCCACACGGGCAGAGTTCACTCTGGAGAACAGGGCAGACATCTTGTCACACAGCGCGACGTCAACTTTGGTTTTGGCCGAGCGAAAGGCCCACAGGTTAAACGCTGAAATTATGAGGTGGTGTTTTAGCAGTTAGAAATGCCTCAAGGGTCAAGGGCCTGTAACAGAAATTGTAATACTTACTTTGTGCAAGAGCAGAGGTTGCTCAGAAAAGAGTGGGAGAGTTCCAGTTAATCACGCCGTTCTGATACATGGAGTTGATGCAATGTCTCATTGTTGTAGCTGTACTCATGCCAGAGACATAAAACAAGTCTAAAGATCGAACAGCTGACAATAAATAAAGTTCAGCTTCTATGGAAACTTGGCTGTGCTAGCTATTTGATTAGCATTGGCTTAGCTTTCAGCATGAGAAAATGCTCCATTTCACCCGAGAATTTATTTAAAAGTTAAAAGGAGAAAATAATATATACCAGGATTTCTGTAGTATGTGAAAAGTAAACCAATATTTTTGTAAAAATACGTTATGTGTGGTTTATTTTACAAAGATATCCTAATTGGTATCTTCCTATTTTATCAGTGCTGATTGGTGGTCAAAAGGTATAATATTTTACTGATCAGTGAAAGCATTACACCGAAGTGCTACCACATCAGGCTGACACCAACACTGTTTGGTGTGGATGTGGAAACCGAAAAAAAACCCTTAATGTTAACTAAGAGGAATTGCAGAGATCTAAAAAGCTATGTAAATCATTACTAAGTTTTGGGAGACATGATAAATGTCTTCCATTAAGGCTGAGAGAGAGCAAAACTTTCAGAAGGTAACAGGCAGAGTGACCAAAGTAAAGTTATAGTATTCTGTTTCAGTATTTGAAGCTTTCAGCCTTTGTCTCTTATAAATTGGTACTGTTGGCAGTAAATGATATACATTTTCTGAAAGGATACTCAGATTGTTGTTTTGACAATACTACGAGTGCTAAATGCTAACAGAACTACTTATAATAGGAAATTTGTTGCCATTTTAAAGAACAGCCATTTAATTTCTTTTCCTAGATTTTGAAACCAAGAATAATAAAACTTTAGTGAAAAGAGAATGGATAAATTTTCTTCTATGAGATGTTCATATCTGTGTGTAATTATGTAAAAACCCAACCTACTGAAGGAGAAGTAGATTTTTGTTAAATTGCTGACCCATTTTGTGTAATCTTTTTGTGGAAATTATTTTCCATGAAAAAACTAAACTGAAGAAAATCATATACTTCAAAAGCTTTGTTCATTCTACATCATTTTTCACCAAATTTATTAAGATAAATATGAAAGATTTACAGAGGAATCTGGAGGCTCCAGATCCCTCCCCTAAAGAGACAATTTATCATTGCATCATTATCATATTTGAAGCTATTTAACCCCAATTAGTTTCCCATGCACCCGCAAGCATTTAAAAGCTATTTTAAAGCCTATTTAAAAGGAACAAACATAGCCTTGGGCTTTGCTACCCACTTTGATGTTACTAAAATATTACCTTGCACTAAGCAAAGGCCAAATGCAGAAAGGGGGGAAGAAGTCCAAGGAGCTCACAAAGAAGATTGTTGGTGTAAAAAGTTAAGATTTAATATCAAGAATATTGCTATAAGAATCCTGCATCCAAACCTTGTGGAATGAAACTCAAAGCTGATGGGAATGATGATCCAAATAATAGGAGAAACACAGAACCATTGAAAACCATCATCAATGGATTTCACTGTCTGGCAGAAAAAGATAGGAGAGCCAAAAAAGACACAAAACAGGAGCTGCATCTGACTAAAAGAACCTAGAATCTGTGCATGGAACCTCAGGTTTCAGAATAACGAGGTAAAGTTTCCTGGGTTGAAATGTATTGTCCTGCGTCAGTCAGCCAAGTCTCAGCAGCAGCTTCTGGTCCCCCAACGAGTTAATGACCCAAAACATGAATGGAATATCACTACAAAAGTTTGAGGAGAAAACACTAAACTTCTTACACGAAAACATGCACTCTGAAGATGTCAAACTTTACATGTGAAAAAGTGTGGTTAGTTGTCACAAAAAAATTATAAGGTCCAAAGTCAATTTGTCATTTCACTTCCTAAAATTTCCAGTTAGTATCTGTAAACAAACCACTTCATACCATTTTACTTGAACCATTGTGTATTAATGCTAAGTACTTTCAAATACTATCTACAGGGTTCCTCTCTCAGTTGTCTTTTAAGTCATTGTATTTTATTAAATCTTTGTATTAGATGCAATTACTATTTACCGTTGTACATTATGAACCCTGACGAAAATATAACAATTTTAAGTGGCTTGCTGGAATTCTTTCTTGTTTTTTTTTTACTCATAATACAACATTTTCTTACAGAAGACAATGAGTAGATTACAGACAATTACTTTAAATTGCCAGTAGTCAAAGCAGGTACAAAGTGTCCCATTTCCAGGGAGGAAATTGTCATTGCAAAATCTCCCAAAGCAGACAGGACCAAACCTCCACAGCGGAAGGGACAAAATAATCAGGACCTTGTAAAGTCAGCAGATTACTTAATGGTAGTGATAGCAGTATAAGAAATCACAAAATTTTATTTGTATTGAGTAAGGAATAAAAAAAGGTTTTTTTAACTGGTTACAGTAGTCTATATTTTGACTAAAGCGATGACAGTCACCACTTGTCCATATGTTCTCTTCCACAGTTGGCACCTCTAATAACAAACTTCTCAGTGTGGGTGGCTCTGTAGCATTTACAAGACAGTAGTTTAAAGTCTAGCTGGGAGAAATAGCTGGACTGCTCAGAGGTCAAATAAACGGATAACATGCTCGATTTGAAAAGCCTATGATTTGGCTTTTAGTTCGGAAAGGCTTCTCTGTGATCTTCCGACCATATGGCTAAAATCATAAACACACCACAAGGTGTATTAGTGTAGGGCATCACTCAGAGACAAAGGTGGCAAAAGTATGAAATGAGTAGAAAGGAAAAGTAAACAAATTGTTGAGAAAATCTTGGAAACATTAAATGCACAAGCACCACTCCCTCACTGGGTATCTCAGAAGTTTCAAAAGAGACTTATATTATCTTTAAGACTTTGGGGTATTTACCCATTACCTATACTAATTTTTGCACACTTTGATGTACTCAGACATTTCAAAACTAAACTTTGACTCAGGCCGAGGCTGATTCCAACACGTCACTAACAACCGCAGCTCCCTGTCGATACAGACAGCTGTTTTAAGTTGGGCAGAGAAAGAGACGAGCGACAGAGACGGAGATTAATGAGAAAAACAGCTGACTAACAAAAGCAGTCTCCTTTCTTCGAACTCTAAAGGAAGAGGAGGCTCAGTCGGA